CTACTTCATATACCCGAATACCCCAATAAATGTGAATATAACATATCATGCACCATTTTCAACACTCTCGCTGGCACGGATTGAGGCCTCATAGACGACCCGTCAGTTCAAGCTCTATAACTCGCGTTAGCGTCAACGGATTGCAACCAAATTTTCAGGATCTTAACCCTCGCCCGCACATGGGGGGGGGGGGTGGTTGCCACCCCCCCCCCCCAGGCAGTCTTTCTGCTCTGCACTCAACATTTTTAGAGCTAGAAGGCTGATTTTTCGTATAGCTGCTCGTCTATCCTTTCTTGATGTCCACTGAAAATTTCAAGTTTCTGTGATTTTTGGTTTCGGAGATATGACCTTGTTTTTCAGGTCATGTCATGACCCAAATGGCCAATTCTCAACATCTTGCGTATGCCATGGGCCTTGTGAGCTTTTGACACCCTGATTTCGGCCTTTTTTGCCAGTCTTACCTCCCACCTATCATGGAACATGTTGTTCGACGATGTACAGGGGTCAAGGTCAGGGTCAAGGTCAACCTAGGTCACCTAAGATAATTGCGTTTTAGGCAAGCTGAATTTACTTTTTGTGAAGTTTTTTGACTGCATTTTTGGTAAAAGCTTCTCAGATCATGATTTCATGTGATATGGACCCAAAAACAATCGGTGCACCCATCAGTATACACACAGACACACACAGACATACAAACACATATAATTGACCTTGACCTAACTTGACCTGAAATGACCTCAGCAGCAAAATTCTGGTCGGATAGTGTGACAAAGAGGTTCTAGCTGGCTTGGCACCAGAAAACAGCATCGTCATCGGTATTTGATAAGCAGCGCACTTGATATCCAACGGTGACCCAAAACAGCAACATTTTTTAGTTTGACCTGACCTGGAAGGTCAATGACTGACCTGAGAAGGTAAAACTGGGTATCATTGGATTCGTCTCTTCCCAAAGAATCTTTTTGGTCTTTACTGCTAAGCTCTATCTGCAACAGGAACGAAATGGCGCGGGGGGGGTGGCAACCCCCCCCCCCCCCCATGTGCGTTCTAGGATGGGAAAATGGCATGTGCGGGCGAGGGTTAACCCTATTCCTGGCGGGCTCCGCCGGGACAAGAAACTGGCGGGGGGGGGGCCGATTCGGCCCCCCCCCTGAGATCTCGAGAACGAAGCAAGATAGCGACAAACGGTAAACGGCATCGGATACGCACGGTCAAGATCTACAATTTTTACAAAGGTCATTTTCAGGTCAGGTCAAAGATGACGTCACAGGGGTCGAAAAAGTCAAAATGGCGGCGCTAGATATGGAGAGAGTTTTTCTCGAATAACTTTCGAATTAGTCAAGATAGGAACAAACTAAGGGCATCATCGTGATCCTCTCGTCAATCCGCATCGAATGATATATATGTTGACCTCGAAAGGTCAAGGTCAAAGGTTGACCTCAGGTCACGTGACCTCGAGGTCATCATGTATATCATTCGATGCGTCTTGACGAGCTGAACACAATGAGACCATCCACGCGTCTGTATCTTGTTCCTGTACGGAGTTATTGGCCAAAAACCTTTGGTGACCTTTGATGACGTCACATGACCTCACAGCTGCCCAACAGCAAAACAGACCTCAAGGTAGTGAAGGTTGATCGTATATGAAGTCATGTATGGTATATGGGGCCATTCCGACCCGTTTTAGTGGTAAAAACAGGGAGTTGATTTTTCCCCCATTGACTTATAATGGGGAGGTCGCGAAACTGACCTGACCTTAGGTCACCGATATCAAAATTCCGAGATATACAAATTGCACATACTGGTACCCTAACTAAAGCCTGAAGAGAAGAAATTGATCGGTCAAAAACTCTAGCTCTGGCGTGATTGCAAACTTTTCTGAGGTAGGGTCACCAAACCGCCTCTGGTGACCTGACCTGGGGTCAGATCAACTCAAAATTTTCAGACATGTTGCGTAGAAGCCTTTTAGGAAAAGTCAGAAAATTTGAGCTTCCTAGCTCAACGCGTTTGGGAGAAATAACCAAAAAACCTCAGGGGGGGGCTCCTGAGGCCCCCCCCCCCGCCAGGAATAGGGTTAAGTTTAAACAATTTCCATGGAAGAGGTCACAGGTCACAGGTCATTCGGGTCACCCGAATTCTCAACTCACCAAATTTCCATGGAAGAGGTCACAGGTCACAGGTCATTCGGGTCACCCGAATGACCTGTGACTTGTGACCTCTTCCTCAAGGCAAGGTCAACTTGCGACACAACTTACGACTGCTATTTCAAATTTGTAAGTTGTGTCGCAAATCAGGCAATTTGCGATAGACTTTACTACTTAACCCGCGCCCTGGTGGGGGGGGGGGGGCTATATTTTGCCCCCCCCCCCCTCCAGACTTTTCGATATATCTCCAGAACCGCTGCGCCGATCGTCACCACACTTTCAGTACCCTCCCGGACATCAATTTTACACATTGTGACCAAAAATTTTTCCAAAGGCTATGATAGGTTGGCCGGAAATGACGTCAGAGTGACGTCATGTTCTGCCGTTTTCGACCCAAAAAAGGGTTTCGCGGGAAGAGCTCTCAGGCCTATAGCTTTGCAAATACAGAAAAACGATACAGCCATAAAAGCTGTAGAATTGAAAGGGCTACAAAACTGCTATCTCGGATTTTTGAAATTTTTGGATTTCGACCCGCCCCCCCCCCCAAAAAAAAGATTTTTTGAATATAATAGCCGAAAAATCCAAAAAGTTTTTTGAATTTCGCAAAAACCGGAACATATGTGATAGTTCTTACCGCCTTCTATTTACATACAAAATTTCAGATTGATACCTCTTTTTTGGCGAAGTTATAGCGAAAAAACTGTTTAAAATTGATGAAGTCAAGTTTTCAAACTCAATTTTTAGCAATTCTAGACCCCGTAGCGCAAAACAAAGACCACCATTATACTCCCCGTGACGAGCTGCATTGAATCAATACCCATTTTATGCAAAACTATCAACTTTAAAATTTGACCTTTTTTGGCCTGACCTTGACCTGACCTTCACCAGAAAGTGACCTAAGCCGTACCTGATAGTCTTTTAACCAACACCATTGAGTTGTAAATGAAAAATTGGCCATAAAACATGCATCGCACAACCTTAGTACCTAAAGTTACGTTCATGTGACCTGACCTGTGACCCTTGGTAACCTGACCTGTGACCTGACCTGGTATTGTCAGTTACCTCTAATAGCAATATATGTATTAGGCAACTGACGCCCTATCGCTGATTCTCGACAAAATGCGTTTTCTTCGGTGTTATAGCGCATTCCCTAGAAGACCCGTGACGGGTGAAACATTTCATCTTTGACCTGACCTGTGACGTCATGGGTGACCCCGAGGTCAATGAAATTTGGTTTCCCTTGACAAATTTGACAGGGCTATCGAACGCCGTTTGAATTTTGCGGATCCGCCAAGTGGTTTCGGAGATACGAGGGGGGGGGGCAAAAAATAGCCCCCCCCCCCCACCAGGTCGCGTTATAAACAGACCCCACCAGGGCGCGGGTAAAGTAACGCTACTCATCGATTGATCCCTTCAAAAACGACTTACTACACAACTTGCGACACGTCGCAGCTACGACGAGGCTTACAACGCTCTGGATCCCTCCATCAGAATAGGCAAATGGTATGCAAACTACCACACCAACTTTCACTTCATTTCCGGTCACTCGCTCGCGGCTTCCACCGGCCAGTTCAGTTTGAACCTTCCGCCATTGCCAGCGTTTTTGCCGAGGGCCTCGATTTGTGTGCAAAGATTTGTGCTTTCATCAGCTGCTCAGTTCACTGCAGTGAAACAGTGGCGTGGTGCATTGGTGCTGGTGAAGTTTTGCAAAACTTGTGAAGGACTAGCAATGCCGAAACAAACAGTGCCGTTCTCAAGGACCAAATTGGCTTGCGTTATCTGTCCCTACGTTGGGAGGAGTGATTCTCCAGGGTATATTGAGTGAATGATTCTCTGCGCAGACATAACAGGTCGCAGCACGGTGGACGGATGTTCGTAAAGGGCTCAGGTTTTGAACCGAGCGGCATCTTCTCAAACTATCTGGTAAATGCCACCTACGTCGACCACCTCCCGGCCGTGTTGTTGGCGTCTTTTTTAGGGTTTGATTGAAATTTGCTGAGAGGAAGACCCGCGGATCACTCAGTGCAACAGTCCCCATGGTGCTGCTATCAAAATGCTTGAAAAAGTGACTCCAACATTAATCCTATGCTAGATGCATGATTGGTCATGTACATCTTTATATTGCCAGTGCCGAATGTTGTCTATTCTATTGAGACCTATCAGTCAAATTTTGTCATTTGGCTGACGAAATTTCCAAAGTCATGCCATTCAGATGTTAGTTCCATTTATTTTGTGCTAAGTTCAGGTGACAATGGCTTCCCATGAAGTTTTTCTTGGATGCTGCCAGATTGTCTTTGTGAGAAATAGGTACTTGGAATCGTTGTAGGTACCTTTGTTTTACTAGACCTATAATTTCGAGGGTAGCAAAATGTGGAAGGTGGAAAAAAATGTGGAAGGAAACTTTCTCGGTGAAGAAAAAGTTTGTGGAAGATTTGATACTTTTTTACCTCTGCCCTCCATTAGCCACGCAAGATTGTTTAGCGAAACCGCCGACATTTTAATGGTTGTTTGCCGCTTTTCCATGTTATACGAGAGCCGTATCGAGACGTGTGACGTGTTAGTAGGAAATATGAGGACAGTTATTATGGACGAGGGCAGGCTGTAAAAGTACTAGTCGCCACTTTCCGTAGAACAGTCCATATTCTGAGCCGAGGCTGATTTTCTCCTGCCTGTCCCCCCACTGCGTGTTGTTCAGTCGGTCCTGGTGCTCCTTTCATTTTACTCAAGTGGGTCTGTCCTGGCCTCACTACCATCCCAGAGAACAAGAAGAGTGTGGAGATACTAGACAAGCAATCTGCGTGTCTGGTGCATGCTGAAGTATGTTTTCATCACTACATGGCAAACAAGCCGAGGTGGTCAATATTCGTGTCAATTTCGGCTGCCCCGCGCGCAGGCACGCTCAGGTCTGGTTGTATGCGCGTTACCCCGGTGAGGAGGTGGTTATTGGGGCGACTCAGGCTACGGCAGCGGACGGCGGGCCACGCGGGCCGGTCCTTCGGCGGTGGCCGTTACATGGGCATCGTTAGGAGGTCGCCGGGCCCCTGTGGACAATCAATGGGGCGGCCGGGGTGACGTGTGTTACCGGCCGCTGCCAGGAGACGGCCGCCGGCGCCGGCCGCACCCCGGCCGCCACCAGCACAGTGAAGCCTCAGCACCGGGCGCACGAGCTGCAGGTGGGTCTGCCCACTCCCCGACCGGGCTGGCTCCCAACGGACCGGTGCAGGCCCGGACACAGCGCCGGGTTGAATCTGAAACGTCTTATCGCCATCCCGTGTTATGTTATGTAGTTCTGTTATATAGACGAATCCCAATGAGATCACTCAATCCAGACTGGGATTTCCCGTAACTTTGCCCAGCTGGTTAAGTGTTCAGGTGCTCGTTCACAGTCATGCCCGTCGCGTGGGCGCTGGGTGACATCAATCGCTCTGTTCCCCAGTAACCCCTTACTTGCTGTGTCATTTGTCTCCCCAGTATGTACCCGGTAAGCGTCTCGTATTCTCCTGTTCAGGTGACAGCCGCAGGCTCCAATCGCCCGCTGACCGTTCGTTGTCCGCTACGCCAGGCGCGGATACAAGGGGGGGTCATGGGGGCCATGCCCCCCCCCCTTGGCCGATTTTTTTTTCAAAAATAAAATAAAAAGTTAAAAAGTTAAAAAGCTGAAAAGGGGGCCTCCTGAAAATAAAGTGGCCGAAATCCGATGAGTTTTTTTTTAACCTACCCACTTAGTTATTTCTTAGAAGACTAGCTGAGAAGACTTCTTTGTTAGAAGATTGGTAAAGCTTTTCATAACTTGGAGGTCTCTTATACTCACAGAGATGACCACTTTTACAGGGCCTCCTAACCTGCACAGAGGGCCTCCAAGCCTGCACAGATGTTGAGATGTTGCCTGAACAGCTAGATAAGCTCAATAGACGCAGTTTTTTTGGGGGGGCCCAACAAGTGGGAAGATGGGGCCTCCAACAGGTGGGATTATGGGGGGGCCTCCTGGTTTCTAATGGCCCCTCCCTTGGAGATTTTCTGGATCCGCCCCTGCGCTACGCTGTGCTCTATGGTGTCCGTCTGCTGATCTATTCCCCGTTTGCCTCTCTGGTGTCCTGTATCTGTGTGCCTCTGTGACCGTTCCACCACGTCAGCGCTCCCTGTCAGTGTCAGCCCTCCCACATCTGACCGGACGGGCGGTGTGGTGTGCTCGTGCAGCGGTGCCGGCAGGGCCCAGCAGGCCTTGGTCACTGTCCGCCCGAGGGCGCGGCCCCCGTCCACCACGCCACCATGAGGCCCGCGCTGCTGCCGACGCTCTGTGGTGAGTGTGACACGCTGTGACCCGAGTGTGACACGCTGTTCCTCGCCCTCCCGCTCACCCACTCACTGCCCCGTCAGAACGCTCCTGCGACACCCACCCACTGCTACCGACGTCTGTTGCGAGCCGGCTCCACACACAGACGACACGCCTTCCCTCCGACACTACATAAGAGTATATGCTGCTACTGCCAGGCATACTCCCCTCTAGCACCTACCCACTACCAATATCTGACGGTCCTTGCAGCAGCCAGCTTCATCTGATGACATATTTTGGCAGAGGGCTGCATCATGCATGTGACCATCACATTTGTTTTTCACTTTAAATCGCTTGCGATAGTTCCGTTGTATGGCTTTAGGAACGGACTGTGCCAAATCGGAGTGAAAAAAACTTTTATTTACAGCAATGCGTGAGGCTTACTAAAGTAGATTGAGTGCCGTCGGTTTAAGACAACAATGGACTATCAAAAAGCGTGTTTTCCCTAAGCTAATGGTCAGATGCTAGTAGCAGCTCATCACATGTTCGTACATGTGTGTAAAGGGGGTGGGGTTCGATCCCCGCCCAGCTCATTATATGGAGCTGTCGCTATGCGAAGGTGCCTCTATTCCGATTACCGATCTCTATTCCGATCGACGATAACAGTCGACAGTAATGACACTGATTAGTGCTTAGCGCGCTGTATCGTCAACAGTCGGTGCAGCTGATGAATGAAACATAGCACACGCAATAGCCTTCGTAGATAGGTAGACTTGTGAGATATCTACTTTTGCTAACAGGGTCAGATAGATCAATTACTATTACTTTACTTATTAACCCGCGCCCTGCTGGGGGTCCTGGATTTCCACGCCCTGCTGGGGGGGGGGGGTGTTTGAACACCCCCCCCCCTTGTAACTCGGCTCCTGGGCCACGTAGCGATACGCGGAAGGCGGCGTTCGAAAGAGCGTCAAAAATAATGACGAAATCACTTCGGTCAATTTTTTGGTAAGGTCAAAGGTCAGGTCACCAGAGGTCATTGAAGGCAAAATTTCGCCAATTTCCAGGTCGAATGTCGAAAATTTCCAAGAAGCCAACGCATAACTCGGGAACCAATAGAGCTACAGCGCCGCGGAAAAGCGCATTCGATAGCCCTATTAACGCCCTTTCTGAGTAATTCTCTCAGATTTGACCTAACGTCAACGGTTTTGCCTGCAGGGGGCAAAAACTGCAAAAATAGCCGATTTTTTCGAAAACAGTTTTTCTGCAATAACTTTTGACCCAAGCCTTGTACAAGCTTACTTTTACCGGCATCGTGTTCCTCTCGTCAAGACGCATCGAATGAACTATAACTTGACCTTGAAAGGTCAACTTGAAAATTTGACCTCAGGTCAAGGTCATGACCTGACCGGAAAGGGTCATGTTGCATATCAGTCGATCCGTATCGTCGAGCTGAACACATCTAAGGCGTTTTCATCGCTCTAGCATGCCTCTATCAAAAGTTATTTGCGAAAAACTGTTAGATACCATTCGTGACCTAAGATGACCTCAGGGCATAAACAAGGGTCACGGACACCATTTTCAAGTTCAGTGTGTCTAAACCACTTGTAATTCGGTGTTTGGGAGTGTTTATAATGTCTTTCATCCAAAAGAGGCGCATTTCAATTTTCTCCCATTGACTTATAATGGGGAGGTCGCAAAATTGACCTGACCTTAGGTCATCGATATCAAAATTCTGAGAGATACATTTTGTACTTGCTATTGCTCTTAGCAATTGCTGAAAGTTTCAAAGCGATCGGTCACTCGGTGTAGCTATGACAGACATTGAAAGTTTTTATGAGGTGAGGTCACTTCAAGTGACCTGGTGACCTGACCTTGAATGACCTTGGTCTGAAATTTTCACAACATGTGTAGAATTGATGTATGATAAGGTGTACCAAAAACGGCGGCGCTCCGCGCCGCCGTTTTTGAGATATTCGCGAAAAACCACAAGGGGGGGTGTTCAAACACCCCCCCCCCCAGCAGGGCGCGAGTTAAGAGGATATAAGAGACATATATCCGCGTTTTACCCTGAACGTTGAAATGACAGGGCTGTTTTTATGAGCATTCGCCGCACCGTGAGATATCGTTCAGTATGAGTAATTTTGGCCTGCTATGCTGAGTTGTGTTACTGGACAGTCGACATTGACATCACTGTGATGTGTCGAACGGGGTCGAAAGGAGTGGCTGCCGGACCAGGTGCAGTCGCCGGACTTATGCAGTGTTGGCTGCTGCACCATGGTCACTGGATCGACCGCCCCCCCCCCCCATTCCCCTCCAGCAGGTGCTAAATGCACCTGCCAAATGTCCGGGCCAAAGTCATAACGTTTTGGTATACAGGAGTTTTAGGTTTCATTTGTATGCCATATTTATTGACTGGATTGTTCTCCAAAAATAAGCACTTACACCGCGCATAATTGATAGTTCTCCTAGGGAGCACTTCTTCCTCGTGTAGACCGTGTGGGAATATCTGCAGCACACTGTCCATATTTGTAATATTCTGAGCTCCTAGTTCCCCAGCCGACCGCCACCACATGCGAACACACCCGATGAGCCAGGGCCACACGGCACACAGCGACGAGCGTGCCGCATGGTGTGGCTATATTAGCGGATGGGTGTTTATTTAGGACTATCTTTGGGCCATAGCATTCTCACAGATCTCGTTTTGCTTTTATGCGTGAGAAATTATGAACGGCAGTGCCTACTTATAACCTTCTATGCGTCCAGTGATTATCAATACAAAAAAGCTACAAATACTCGTACATTATCAGTCCGGATGTGTACCTGCACCTCATGGATCTTTGCTGTTTATGGATTATGAGTCTATTTCCCTCGTTCCACTGGCGGCTGCTTCCAGGCTTAATTACGTGCTGGGTGCTGCTCAACTTACAATAGTTTAGGAACCCAAATGGAGAGCGCTTATTCAATGCCAATCAGTTTGTCCCTCTTAACATATTAGTAAACATTTTGCAAGAAGTCGTATGACATGAATGCAGTAACGGGTCGCCTTCTACGTCCCCCGGTGGCGGTCACCCTCGGAGCCGGCGTGAGTCGCCCTTGAAGGCGTGAGGGGGGGGGGGGGTTATCGCCCGATTTCGTCGGCCGGGCCGGCGGCCCGCGCGACGCCGGTTCCCTGGCAGCGGCAGTTACGTACTGTGCAATCAATGTCGCTCGGACGACTCGTCGCACTACATACACACATACACACAGACACACTTACAGACCCACGTATGTAGGTACCCCTGCGGATAATTCTGTCACTTTGGAATCCTGTAATATGTTGTTATAGGGACTACATTTCAACGTTTTACATAGTAGCCAGATTGATTTTGGTGCTTTGCCTCGTGGCTGCATTGCAGATAACTGCACTCAGCTCGCTGCAAATGCAAACATCAACTTGCTCACTGGCGGATCCGGGGAGGGGGAAGGCGGCAGGGGCAAAAGCCCCCCTCCATTCGAAACTCGAGGGGGCGGCAATATAAATTAGCCCCCAACCCAATCGCACCGGGATTGGTCATTAAAATGGTTGATTACTAGTAAGTTCCAGCCTTCGACAGTGAAATTCCTGTTAAAATTCCTTTCCGCTGTTAACCTGCGCCCCGCTGGGCTATTCAGCCATACGCGCCCTGCTGGGGGAGGGGGGGGGCAGATTCTGCCCCCTTGTCTAACTTCCGAACCGATGGTCGTAGAAAGATGGGGAAAACGGCAATCGAAAGCTCTCAACAAGGCGGATCTTAAGAGCCCATTTTTTTTTTTTGCTGAAGTAGGTCAGAGGTCAGGTCAAGGTCAGGTCAAGGGTACAAATTGCAAGTTTCTACAGTATCGGCCTTGCACCGTAGTTGCCGAAGAATGGACCGAGGCTGATTACCCAAAACGTGTTCTTAGGCTACCAAGACAATATTCGTTGCATACAATAACATGCAAAGGTCAAATGTCAGGTTAGGTCACCAAAAACGAAATATAGAAAGGGGCATGTGCGACACATGTTTTATGGGTCATTTTATTCCTAGAATTCAATAGGCACACTCAATAAGTGATACGGACCACATCTGGATGAATTTCAGGTCGAGGTCAGGTCAAGGTCAGGTCAAGTGAGGTCAAATTTTGAAGCTGGTTGTTAAGGCCTAAATAGGTGTCTATCTGATGCAGTTTTTCACGGCGAATCGAATGGTGCTATTTTTGTTTCCATACGAGATCTAGAACTGCCAAAAAATTATTTATCAAAAATTTTGTGTGTCGTGACGTCATAGAATTTTGAATAACTCCCACATTTTTGAACCGATTTTTCTAAAACTTAGTATGTAGGTGCACATAGACAATTTCTCTGACATATATTCCGGTTTTTTGATGCACTCAAAATTTTGGATTTTATTATAATTTTCCCAAAAAAGTCAGTTTTTTTTAGAAAAAAATGGGCCAAAATCCAACATTTTTAATAAATCGAGATGGCCACTTGATAGACAAAGTAAAATCACGTATAGCCTTTTTGTTACGTCTTGATTTCTAAAATGAAGATGTTAGCGGCGTTTGAAATATTGCCGTTTTTAGGTGAAAATGGCGAACATGACGTCACTAAAACGTCATTTTCTCAACAACAAAAAAAAAAATCCGACAGATTTCGCTCAAATTTTCAGTGAACGTGTTAAATTGATGTATGATAAGGTACTGAAAGTTTGACGTCGCTGACGTAACGCGTTTAGAAGTTATTGGCGAAAAACGGGAGGGGTAAGATTCTGGGGGGCAGATTCTGCCCCCCCCCCCCCAGCGGGGCGCGGGTTAAGTTGATAGCAAGGCAACCGTTGATAGTGATTTGGCAGTCATTCAATGATGGAAAAGTGGAACCCAGCACTCGCCAAGCCAGGGCCTGCTTCATAACGCGGACGGCGGGGGGGGAGGGGTACGAAACCCCTGGCGATTGGCTCCAATGGCACTTAAAAACACCAAATTTACAGGGTAGGTAGGCCCATAGGAAATTTTGCCCCTGTACAAATTTCGTGACTCTAGGTCATTACTTCGGGGAACTTAGGTAGTAAAACACAAAAACGTAGAAATAGAGAATTCATCAATCATATTTTTACAACTGGAGCCATTCGGTCAGATTTCTTAAGAATTTGTCATGACCCCAAGATGGCCTCAGGTCGACCAAACTTGAAAAAGCACGATGCATGTCATGGCACTCGGTGAGCTTCGCATAGCCTGCAAGTGAATCAACTCGGTACATAACTCTAGATTTCATGGAAAATAGTGTAATGTCAGTGCCAATTTAACCCTGTACTGGTTTTTGTGACCTGGTGACCTGACCTGTGACCACTGGGACTCAAAACTTTCAGCACACGTGTCAAATGAATGCCCCAACTAGTGCGTTTGTAATTTGGTGGAGCCGGCATGGAGCTGCCATGGTGCGTACGGGATTAACGAAAAACTTTGTTGCCGCTAGACAAGCTCAATTTTATCCTGACCTTGTCCTTGTACTGGTTTTGTGACCTGGTGACATAACCTGAAATGGCTGAGACCTGAAATTTTCAGGAAATCTGCCAAAAGGTTGCCACAGAGGGTATGACTATGACAAATTTGGCAGCGCTACGCGCCGCCGTTTTTACGCTATTTGCGGAAAACTTGAAAACGCCATGTAGTTACATCACTAAAATCGATATATCTCAAAAAGTTTTGGAAAATTTTCTTAAAAATTACACAGAAGACGTAAAATTGATAGGGGAGAAGGTATGCCAAGTTTCAAGTTGATAGCGTAAGCGGTTCATGAGTTATTCAAGAAAAACGGGGGGGGTCGGATCCGACCCCCCCCCCCCCACCCTCTTAACCCTCCCAGGCGGTCGCGGGTTAAGATGTTTATAAACAATTGAAAATACTTGCCATTTGTCAGGAGCAGGTGCTGCTTATACCATGCATTTGTTGGACGTCAAGTTAACCTCGAGCAAGGCGACAATCAAACTCTCCAAGAAGGATGCCACTATTGACGTCTTACATTTTTTAACATTTCCGGTAAATAAAGCGTAGGGTGAGGTGCCTAGTTAGCGACCCTTTCCTAATTGCGACCTACCTCTCTATAGAAAAACTGGCAAGAGAAATCGGTGTAAAACAATGTCAAAAGATCTGCCATACTTCGGTTATCAAACTAAATTCTTTTCCGGTTGTCGGTGCCTCTGGTGGAACGTTTAAGGCGAGTTCAAATAAAAATGGCCAGTTTCTTGTCCAAAACGTGTGCATTTGGGCCGTAGGTATATCTGATGAAAAGCGATGCACATTAAAGGGACCCTCCCACCTTAACATTAGATAATTAGATTTGAGTTGAGATAGCCAAAATGGGGTCCCTGGCTCACAATTACCGGTTTCGGCACTCACAACATCGAGAAATGCCTTAAATCGGAAATATTGAATTTCAAAATTGCAGCATTTTGATTCAGAGGTGCTAATGCATAGGAATACCCCTCTGAATGTGTGACGTCAGCGCAGATATCTAACGATTTTTAAATGTTTGACTAAAACGTTTTGTAGCACGCGGTGGTATATGCTGCTTTGCGCGCAACAAGTGCCGCACTTTCAGCTGCCAAACTATTGCTTCCAAATAAGTCGCGAGGAACAGCGGAGATCCCAAAAAGTAAACAAAAGTAAAAGTCTAATATCTTGAAAACCGGTGAATATTTTTCGGTGAAATTTGCTAGATATTCGTTTTCGCCCTTTCTGAACCAAGCGACATCACTTTCATGCCAATTCATAAACTTTTTTGAAGGTGGGAGGGTCCCTTTAACTCTCGCCAGGCGAGGGCCTTTTCCATAACACGGACGGCGACGGGGGGGGGGGGGTACGACCCCCTGGCGATTGGCTCCTATGGCACATAGAAACGCCAAATTTACAGGGTAGGTGGGTCCATAGTAGATCTTGCCCCTGTGATAATTTCCTGGCTCTAAGTCAATATTTAGGGGGGAGGGTTCGGGAGGAAATTTTCGCTAAGACATGTCAAAAGTTTTTCGTCTATACCTTTTATCTGATAACGATAGAGCAAAAATAAAAGCACCAGTGAACTCAGGATGTCCGTGCGCATCGAATGATATACTTTGTTAATTGTTACCAATTTAAGTGAACATAGAATTGTCTTTAAAATTAAGTAAACTTAGGCTAATTAAGTTTCCATGAACAAAATAGTGCATTTTCATTGCCATTTTGACAATATACCGGTTTTTGTGACCTTGTGACCTGACCTCAGGTCACTGGAACTTAAAACTCCCTGGTCAAGTGATAAATAGATGCCCCAAGTCGTGTCTGAAATTGGGTAGCGCAGACGCTACGTGCCATAGCACCCACGCTATCAACGAATAACTCTGTCATTCAGTTGCCGCTAAACTAGTCCAATTTTCCCCTGACCTTGTACCTGACCTAGTGACCTGACCTGAAATGACTGAGGCTTGAAATTTTCAGGATAGGTGCGGAAAGGCTGCCCCAGGGGCTATGCCAAATTTGGTGGTGCTACGCGCCTCCGTTTTTACGTTATTTGCGAAAAAACCTTAGGGGGGTTGCATCACTAAGAATCTTAACATCAACCCCCCCCCCCTCGCCGGGCGAGGGTTAGGTGATGTTCCTTTTTAATCTGAATCGACAATCCTTTTTCCATTGATTACGGTTTTACCGTAGTGAATCGCTTAGCTATGCACTGCATGGTGCTTAAAAATGTGTCGCAACCTATATTTCCTATTTGCGCCCAACATGGTCGGAAATAGCTCAAGAAGGGAGATAAAGGGGAAAATAGAGAAATGAAAATGAGGTGTTGCTGGAGGTTGCGATGTGTGGCGGGTGATATCAACTGTCGTCACCGACTGCAGGGGTTGCCAAATCCAGGGCGGGCCTCGAATATCATACGAGGTAGCCCGCAAAACTGAGGTTTCTGCTTTCTTTTCGCCTTTGTGCATCACGTGATCAGTTGTCACCTTCATAAAGGTGTTGGATAAACGCTCCTGTTCCAGTGATTGAGTGTCTTGCGTATAGGTTACTTTTTTGGGATCATATTAATCTTTTCAGGCGTCACATTTTTTTGCCATTTTTATTATGGGAAAACCCATAGGGGAGAGAGGTCATATTGCGCCATGTTCTTAAATGCGCCACACCTTCCTCCTGCCCAAAATTCGATTCGAACGAATACTCGAATGTGTGCATTTACTTCACCACCAATAACTCGCTCTTATTCCAACTCTTATTCCGGTCCACGGGGGCAGGTGAGGTGTCTCAGCTTTCTCGCAGACCATTTTTTGTGATTTCCTCTATTTTCTTACGCGAAACAGTCTATTTCGACCTTTGCTAGTGTCATGGTTTATCTTAGTGATAGTGATTCAACTAATAATCATTGTTAATTGCTCGTTTAATGGTAGTTTTGAAAGTTTATCACCACCGTGGCTTCGCTGTCGTCGCCATATTTGAAGCTCATGAAAAATGTGTTCCATTCGTAATTGCGCCCACCCTATTTGCACCCTATTCCACCCTATTCTTCAACCCAGAGAAACAGCATCTGGTGGTTGGGACACATTTCATTGAACGCTTTGATTATTAGAGCGCTCACCTTACCATTACCTTAGCCTTCACAGCATAAATGGTTAATGGGCTGACACGTTCAAATAGGCTACTTAGTTAGGTGGCAAACCGTTGTTTTTAATAGGGCGCTTTTACATGAGAGGCATGGACGCTTTTTGATGGGGGAGTCCGTAAATGCGCCCTTTGCAGATGTGCCGGAAAGCTTTTCTCTTGCTAATTTTTCTGGGTATGATACAAATTGAGAGTTGTTATTTGATGCCAAAATAACTGAGGTACAATTTGAGATATCATCAAACATGACAGCTGGTCAACTTTAGCCGCAATAGACCGATATCCTTAAGGTGGCGCAATATGATCTCTCCTAAACTTATTAGCGACCCTCCCCGGCCGCTAATCGGGACGAGTTCCTTATTAGCGTTTTTTTTTTTTTTTTGCAATGGTTTGCAAAAATGCTCACTACAAATAAGTTAGTGGATACTGGGGCAGAAAATGAATAGATTTTAATAGAAAAATGAACGATTTGTCCGAAAATCAAGCCAGTAATGCAATGGCACCCATAGAACGTGAGCAATTACGGTCCAAATTAAGGGGGTCGCTAATAAGGCACCTTACCCTACTGCTCTAATTAATGCAACCATTTGTGCAGGACGAGCGCGATGTGTCTCTCCTCCACCGAGTCTGCGTTTTTGCCGGCAGCGTTGGTCCTACTGCAGTGTCTGCAGGCGACAGTCTCGGAAGGGTTGACCTCCGACTCCACTGGCACGGTCACCACTACAGAGGAGTCCAGGGACGCGGATACCATCGCAAAGGCTTCGGATGACACAGTTACGACTACAGCAGCGCCCAGTGACGCAGCCACCACTGCAGACGCGACCAGTGATGCAGCCACCACTGGAGAAGCGTCCAGTGACGCTGACACCACCGCAGAGGCGTCCAGTGACGCAGCCACCACTGCAGAAGCGTCCAGTGACGCAGACACCACCGCAGAAGCGTCCAGTGATGCAGCTACCACTGCAGAAGCGTCCAGTGATGCAGCTACCACTGCAGAAGCGTCCAGTGACGCAGACACCACCACAGAGGCGTCAAGTGACGCAGCCAGCACTGCAGAAGCTTCCGGTGACGCAGCCACCACTGCAGAAGCGTCCAGTGACGCAGACACCACCGCAGAAGCGTCCAGTGATGCAGCCACCACTGCAGAAGCGTCCAGTGACGCAGACACCACCGCAGAAGCGTCCAGTGACGCAGCCACCACTGCAGAAGCGTCCAGTGACGCAGACACCACCGCAGAAGCGTCCAGTGATGCAGCTACCACTGCAGAAGCGTCCAGTGATGCAGCTACCACTGCAGAAGCGTCCAGTGACGCAGACACCACCGCAGAGGCGTCAAGTGACGCAGCTAGCACTGCAGAAGCTTCCGGTGACGCAGCCACCACTGCAGAAGCGTCCAGTGACGCAGACACCACCGCAGAAGCGTCCAGTGATGCAGCCACCACTGCAGAAGCGTCCAGTGACGCAGACACCACCGCAGAAGCGTCCAGTGATGCAGCCACCACTGCAGAAGCGTCCAGTGACGCAGACACCACCGCAGAAGCGTCCAGTGATGCAGCCACCACTGCAGAAGCGTCCAGTGACGCAGACACCACCGCAGAAGCGTCCAGTGACGCAGCCACCACTGCAGACGCGTCCAGTGATGCAGTCACCACCGCAGAGGCGTCAAGTGACGCAGCTAGCACTGCAGAAGCTTCCGGTGACGCAGCCACCACTGCAGAAGCGTCCAGTGACGCAGACACCACCGCAGAAGCGTCCAGTGACGCAGCTAGCACTGCGGAGGCGTCCAGTGACGCAGCCTCCAGCTCGGGTACGGCGGCGGCGGCCGGCGGCCAGAACTCTACTTCGGCTGCCGCGAATACAACGGCCGAGCCGGAGGACGTGCCCCCGGCAGCGCCGACAGGTAAACCCGCCCACCACGTCATTGGGCTTAGATATTAGCCATGCTTACAGCTTGGTTAGGGCGGAAATGACGGAGTGTTTTTAAAATAGCATGGCAAACAAGCTTTTACGAAGCCCTCGAATTTATAAGAAAGTGTTAGCTTCCTTACTCTTTTGATAGGTATGTGACTGTGTGTTTCAATCCTTATCCGTGTCTCGTGAGACTTAATCGTGTGACTGAGCACGTTCAGCGAATGCTGATGGGGCATCAGCTAATCTTTTGTTAAAGGGACCCTCCCACCTTCAAAAAAGTTAATGAATTGGCATGAAAGTGATGTCCCTTGGTTCACAAAGAGCGAAAACGAATATCTACCAAATTTCACCGAAAAATATTCACTGGTTTTCAAGATATTAGGCTTTTACTTTTGTTTACTTTTTGGGATCTCCCCTGTTACTAGCGACTTTATTTGGAAGCAATAATTTGGCAGCCTTGAAGTGCGGCAGACGTTGCGCGCAAAGCAGCGTATACCACCACGTGTTAACGATGGTTTTAGTCTAAGATTTAAAAATCGTTAGATCTCCGCTGACGTCACAAATTCTAAGGGGGCATTCCAATGCATTAGCCCCTTAGAATCCGAAAACTGCAAGTTTGAAATTCCATATCTTCGAATTAAAGCATTTTTCGATGTTGTGAGTGCCCAAACCGGTATTTGCAGGCCATGGCCACCAATTTGGCTATCTCAACTCAAAACTAATGTTAAGGTGGGAGTGTCCCTTTAAGCTAAGCAGAGCGTATTGATGTCAATCAAAGCCGATGTTAAAAGAAAAGATGATCTTTTGCGAGCTAACGAGCAGGTGTGAACAATATAGTGTGGCAATGGCATGGTTTGATCTTGACTGGGACTCCAAAACGCGGCTTTGGTTGGCTAACCTTTGGCCGACACTGTATGTTCCAGTCTCCAGCGTCAATATGAAGGTGCGATACACCATCCCCTGGAATGCCGAATACGCCAAGAGCAACTCTACTGAGGCGGAGGCTAAGAAGCAAGCTCTGAAGAATAATGTGAGTGTTGAGTAATCACATCTGACCCTCTTGCATCTGTTTTGCTTCGTCATGGGCATGGCATCGAAAGTGGACATCGTACCTTGTTTGATCGCACATACTTCCTCTAAATTCCGTAGATGCATAGTTGGGTCCACTGTGGATCCATTACTGTTGGTATTTCTACTAATTAAATGTCTACCAAACGACTGAATTGACTGGCTGAGACGCGTTTGCCGTTTCAGCTTGAGCCGCCGATGAAGCTCAAGATTCCCCTCATGAAGGAGCTGGTGATCAACAGTCTGACCCAGGGGAGCGTGGTGGCGGACTATGACGTCATTCTGAACTCAGACGTGGAGGGCGGCAACGTCGAGGCTGTAAGTAGCAGTAACATTACACTGTTATGGGGAAACTGGCAGGGCACTAGTAGTTGCGCCCACCGCCCGCGGGACGAAATGCATTGACTTGATTCGGCGATTCAGTGACTCAGATTCATCTGAAAGGGATACTCATGAATTTAGTGTCACATAGAACTTCAGCCATGCGTAAATCTGAATTAGAAAATGTATTACCGCTTTGCTAGCAACAATGTTTCGATTGTTCCCCGACCTCAAGTTTGCAATCACTTTGGCAGTAAAACAGGAATTTCATTACAAAATATATTTTCTGTAAAAATACATGCAAGACAAACACAGAGTTCGTCACAACAGGACACTGGCTCTGGTAGCGATGAAATGGGCGTCGTCAAAACACGAGCCGGGGCACAAAGCCAGATGAACAGGACAGGGACAGTGGACAGATGGACAGTGTTGGAAGGGTGACAGCGGGCGGCGCTCAGTAGAACAGACCGGAGCGCAGGCCGAGCCCGTAGCCGGCGTAGGCGACCGGGCCGTAGTCGGGCGCGGCGGCAGCGCGCAGCGCGGCCTGGTTGTAGAGCGCCGCGTGGCGGGCCTTCTCGGCCATGACCGCCGGCGTGTCGAGCAGCACGGGCGTGGCCACCGGCACGCCGCTGTTGCGCAGCACCTCGGCGTTGTACAGCTGGGCGTGCACAGCCTTGGCGGCCTTCACCTCGGCAGTGTCCTCGGGCATCATGGGCTCCATGCTGCGGCGGCGGCGGCGCGCGTCCGGCGCGGCCTCGGCGGCGGCGGCAGCCTCGTTGTACAGCATCCGGAACTCGGCCTTGGCGGCCTTCACCTCGGCAGTGTCGTCGACGGGAGCCGGGCCGACCAGGGTGTGCACGGGCGCGGCCAGGCGCAGCTCGGGCGCCACCGGCAGGTTGGTCGCCTTCACGCGGAAGCCGGCGGCGTCGGCCACGTAGTTGACGGTCTGCTTGATGCCGTTGGCGTCCAGGTAGCTGTAGGAGCCGGCGGTGGCTCCCAGGGCGTTCATGGTCTCAGTCTTGGAGCTGAGGGGGCCGCTGTAGCCGTACTGGTACTGGCCGAGCTCGTCCTGCGCCTGGTACTGGCTGGAGGTGACTGCCGGCGCGGCAGCCGCATACGTCAGGGGACGGGCCAGACCGATACCAGCCGCGTACGGCTGCGCCAGGCCGATGCCGCTCCAGGGGGCGGCGTACGGCAGAGCGGCGGCCCTGGTGAGCGGGGCGCCGTTCCAGGCAGCACCGTTCCAGGCAGCACCGTTCCAGGCAGCGCCGTCCCAGGCAGCGCCGTTCCAGCTGTTCCAGCCGGCGGCGTACGGCGTGGCGATCGGGTTTCCCCACGAGAGGGCAGCCGACACGCCCAGAAGGGCCGACACCACAACCTGGCGGCACGTACCGGGTCAGCTCAGCCGGGTCAGCCGCTCACGGCGGGGACAGAGGAACGTCTCACGGGGACCCGCACGCTTACTTATATAAACATCTTATAGGTCCTTTTTTACGTTTATCATGATTGAACCGCAAAATGACCACCGCAGTCGACGCGCCCGTAAACCCCAATGAACGAACATGATTGAACAACTTTTTGAAAACATTTGTCAGGAATGATAAATACTTTTGATGTCAATTCTGTCAAAATGATTGTATTTTCTTTTCATCAATAAGCTCAAATTGAGTGGGACGGCTGATGCGGTGGTGAACTGGTAAAATGCTTCTCTGAGAGAGGGCCGCCGGTGGCTGCTGTTGTCTTACCAGGACTTTCATGTTGGATGAACTCGCTGGCGCTGTGCCGACTGACGGTGGTGTGGCCGGTTATATAGTCGGACGGCGGCTATGGGGGGGGGGGGGGGCTGGTGATGGGCCACGCCCTGCCGCGGCCTCTCCCGCCGGGGAGGGGCCGGTACGGGCGACGCCGCCCCGGACACCGGTGCCGGGTAACGGGTAGCGGCAGCCGAGGCTCCTGACCAACTACCGTGCAGAGACGAGCCCGAGGAAACCAGCGTTGTGAAGAGCTGTGAATGGAGGATACTGCACCGCAGCGCACGCGTGCTGTGCGGCACAGCATATCCAACGGTCCGCGACGCCGCTACATCTTCAGAGGCCCGGTGTCCTTTGAGTTGACATACCGGTCCCAGTGTAAATGGCCTTGAACCGGTCGCTTGTTGTACTGATGTTTGCGGCTCACATCTCGATGATAGCGAATTAGGCTCACAGCGGGTAGATAGGTGTCTCGTGACGTGCCCTCTCCGCGATCGATTCTGCTCACAGGTACCCTGATGTGATACCCCTCCCTGCTTGCCTCAGGTCACGTCGGCTATCACGGAGGTCACCGCGAATGGCACCATCGGCGATGACCCTGTATCAGCGAACGACACCGCAGTCGTAGGTCAGTTGGTTCCCGCCGGCCGGCGGTTCGGTCGCGATGGTTCCGTCACCTATCGGCTGTCACACATCCTCTTTTGTCTCATGCAGCGTACCCACTTACAGTGTGGATTACGTCAATTACGTGCGCTTGGCGTTTTTTTTTTTTTTTTTTTTTTTGATGACAGTTGGTAAATTGTGCAATGTCAGTAGTGTCATTTGCACTGTTGCTGCGCTTTGATTGGGCATAGACTCGATTTTGCATCGAGGTGAAAAGTCCGATCAAAATATCACCTTTGCGTCTGATAATGCTGCAGTAGTGGCTCCTGAAGGGATCATTCGCCCAATACTTATTAGCTAACAATGTTCTTAAACAGTAGCGGCGGAACACCTTCAATTAAGGGGGGGGGGGGGCAGTGCCGGCTTTTGGTCCCATTCTTTCCATGCAACGCCCATAACATATTTGGGCATTTTAACATAGGGCTAATGTTAAAATTCTCAAATCAAAGGGGGGCACGGTGCTCCGGTGCCCTCCCAATTTATGTTCCTAAATTGGATCCTTGCGCATCTGGCGTCAAGTAAAAATGGAACTTTTAGCACGTCCCTATAACAAGTGTAACAAATCGGTAGTTCATCAAACGACCGGTTCCGTCTTTGCTGGTACGTGTCAGTGTGCCTATCCCGCACCGACCGTATAAGACAGTCGATTGCAATCTTTGAAAGATGATGGGATGAAATGTTCCGATTCTCGAGATACCTGCCATCACGAGTTGAGACAGATACAGGGATCGCTATGTAAGTATTCCACTGATCTGTGTAACGTAACGATTGTAGCTCCAGTCATAATTCGGGATTCCTTTCATGCACATTAATTTGGCATGGATTAGAATTTAGACTGTCCCGATATTGAGCATATTTCTCTGGTTTGTTTATGACATCTGTCACGCCTGAGCGCAGCAATCTGTGTAATTTTTCAACAGTGCCGGTCCAAAAAAGTGGCCGACATTGCGCGCGGTCCCCGGAGGCCGGCTGTGTCTTCGGTGCTGATTGGCCTCGTGTCGCGCACCTGTGAGGGGGGGGGGGGTGAATGACGAGTTTTTCGGCGCGCCCGCTACACGGCTGGAGCCACCTTCGCCGAGGGCCGGCCCCGCCCTTCGGCCGACACCGGCCCAGCAGTGAGCGTGACATTTGGCAGCCGAACATGCACCCTGTGCGTGGCGGCAAACGCCCCCTGGAGCTGGCGTCCCTCGCCCCCTCTCCCCTAACACCCACCGCACGCCATCCGCGTGTACCGGTGAGCCTGCCCGGCCCGTGACCGTCGCCGCTTGGCAAACTGATGGTCCTCTCACAGATGACCTGTGATAGCTGTTACAACTAACACCGGCTCTCCTGCAGTACTGGAGTGTACCAATGAACCGGAGAAGCCCATGGTCAACGGCATGCGCAGCTGGAGCGGCAGCCGAGCGCTGAAGACGATGGTCCTCTACACCTGTCACACGGGCTACACGTGAGTGCGGCCGACGCGACGCTCGGCCTGTGGCACAAAGATTCAACATTGGGCGGGAGGCGAGAGCAGAGCTGGCTAAATAACCCACCGGCTGGTTAAGATTTCAGTCGGACGGTTCAGATACCTCTGTATTATGGACGTGGGGAACCAGCTTCGTCAACTAAGTACCAATATTTTGTTTTGCATATTGATTCATTGCAATATACGGATTGCATTGCATTTTTGTCGTGATATGTAAAGTAGGTATCCATGACAGTTGGATAACGACAACTCAAGAAACTCAAGATTATCAAACGACATTTATTTTTAAATTACTTTTAAATACACAAAGCTTTCGGTCACATACGACCTTGATCACTGTGTTTCACAATGTTTCACAATTATACAAACTTCGCAAAAATGATACAAAAACCGTCTAAAATTCTTAATGTGAAGCGCATGAAAATTTCCTAGCCTACCGCCAGTTTTGCTGCCCAGGATGATTATGAAATGAACCTACTTCTCGAATTGAATGTGTCCCGGGTGATGATATAAGCGGCTTCTAACGTTTTTCGTATCCTCTTTTTATATTTCTTTCTAATATTCTTGTTTTAGTCCAGTCTGGTAAATGATTGCATTTGTCTATATGAAGGACGATGGCATTCTACTCTCTATGATATTTGACATCGCTTCGATGTTCTTTTAGGCGTACGTCAATGCCCCGTCCTGTTTCACCTACGTAACTTTTTTCGCAACCTTTGCAAGGGATTTCGTATACTACACTCTTTTCTTCATTTGTATATTTTTATCTGATGACGTTATTTTGGCTATTTCTTGTATCTTGATTCCTGTTTTCGGTGTGACCTGAATGTTCGTGATATTAGCCTGAATGTTCGTGATTGTCGTGATATTAGCTGCCAAGTACCTTCTGAGGTAGTAGAGCTCGAACGAGAAGATGCCGTGCTGTTGCATATATCGCCCAAATGGTTCAGTCTCAATCAATAACGCTTGATAATGTTGCTAATCAAAAAAATGCTTAAGTTGCCTTCCTCTCTTTTGGAAGGACAAAGGTATAAATAAGTAAGAAAAAAAATTAAAAAAGTCTTGCAGTCTGCCTCTATTTGTGATTTTTGCAGTGACTGCTACTATTTCCCTTGTCCTTTTCCCAAAGGCTGAAGAACAACGGCCAGTCGCTAGCCAACTTTACCGTCACCTGCCAGCGGTCGAGCGACGTCCTCCTTTTCGGTGGTGTGCCCAGCACTGTGTCGTGCGTGGCGGATCCCACAACGACAACGACCACCACCACGACCACGACCGAGGCCACGACTGCGGAGCCGACCACCACAGAGCTGACGCGGCCCACGCCGCACGAGACGCCCTACGTGCCCAGCGAGCACACCACCTTCACCAACAGCCTCTTCTTGTCCATCACCATCCCGGCGGTGGCTGGTGAGCGGGCGCTGCAGGCAGAGCGCAGTGTATGACATACCGTGTGATCACTGATATCATAGAACCAGCTCGTTAGCGGCTGGTCATGTTCGTAAAACAATGCAACATGTCGACATGCTTACCTTTGGAAGAAACCTTTCTTCACTTACCTTTCTTACCTTTCTCAGAAAACTCTCCAATTACTTCTAGAAAGCAAGTTCATTTAATGAGATTTCAGCACGCACTCGGGCAGTCGCACTGCCTGTATTTATATTGCTCCAATATGACACAACATATTTTAAGTGCGGTCTGTTCGTTTCAGGCATGGTTGCGGCTCTCATCTGTTTCCTGTGTGCCATTCGCATCGACAGTGTCCTCTGCAAGGTCTGTGCCGAGGGCAAGGTATAGGGCACGCCGCACGGCATGGCACTGCAAGATCGGCAGGCAGAAATAGAAGCATCTCTCGGATCCGAATGAGTTTGACCAGAGCGTACAAAGTGATCTGGCCTGATGACTCGCTTGTTTGCCAGTTTGGTTCGTTGCAGATAGCAGTGTTGATGGTAGGAGCGCATGTTTTTTATGTGACGTTTTTCAAACCTTGCAGAATTTATTTCACGTTGTTAGGTATATGTTAGCAGGTGCGGGTTTACTTCTATTTAAACTTTTCTGCATCATGCAAGCAGCTTTGCGAAGTCAACTGGATGCAATACTTTTACGGGGAATGAATTTTACCGTGTTAAACAATTCCTATAGATCTGTGAACCTGACGACGTCCGGAGCGCGGTGTGCCGAGCGCACACCACCGGGCGGACAGTGTGGCCGCCGGCCGGGGCCTCCGTGTGTCGCTGGCCGCTGAGCAGTCTCGCCGAAGTGCCTTAGTGTGCCGTGTGCCGACCGATGCGGTCGTAGCGCTGTGTCGTCCTCGGCCGGCGTCGGCGGCTCGGCCGGGGAGGCGCCGCGGTGGAAACGCCTCTCTGATACCCGCTGCTGACGGCGCCTCCCACTGCTGACCCCCGACGCCTAGCCGCCGGCTAATACAGTCAAACGCCATACATCCGCCTTTGATAACCCGGCCGCCTCGCTCGCACAACGGGTTGGACTGCGAGAAGTGCGCTTCCCCACCAGTGCAGCGACAAACGTGAGCTTATCCGGTGCCTTCCGCCACCGACCTTTGTTTGCGTGTTGTATGTACTAACTTATTTGCAAGTATCTCTGAAAGACTGGACCGGACCCGGACGAGACACAGCCATGGGTGGACCTGGTGGGGCCGGTTCGACACCCACGTGGCGATAATTACGGGTCATGGCCAGGTCACAGCCAATCGCTCCAGAAATCAGATCAATCCGTGTTTGTCGCTGTAGAAAAACCGGCCAGGTGCTAACACACGAGCAAAAACAGCACCATGGCTGCTTGAAAAGGGAATGCATATGGCCAAAAAAAAAAATTAACATATTTTGTTCATGCTGAAATCAACCGACTTCTGAGTCATTTTCCGTAAAGTTTACGTCCGCAGGAGGGACAAGTACACAGTGACCACCAGTGTCGCGTCAGATACGAAATTACTCTAAAACGCCTATTACGGACGTTGAGTTGAACATGAATATTATATTTGTTTTCACCCAGCTCTCCTAATTGTCATAATGCCCACAATCGGTTCCACGGATTTATTACGAGCGAGCGAGCGAAGCGAAATCTTTTCAATACGCCTGAACGGCCTGAAAAATATCAGTATGAGCGGCCCGGCCTGCAACGCTTTTGACTTTTGAGAGGCTTATATCTCAGTTGATTCTCAGAGACAGCTGCGACCGATTGGCCTGCGGTCTTGCTCTTTTTTGTTGGCTAGCCCCACAGTGTATATAAATACACTGTGGCCCCATCCCTTCTACCCCTTAGGTAATTGACTACTTTTGATACATCTCAGTGAACGTCGTGGCACGTCCCGCGCAGGCGCGTAGCCAGGATTTTCCTCAGGGGGGCCAATCAGACCGAAAGGGGCCCATGTGAGCGAAGGGGCCCAACATTCAGTGGCGGATCCAGGGGGGGGCAAAATGGGCATTTGCCCCCCCCCCCCAAACGGCATAATTTTAACATTACGCCTATGGACGATGCATGGAAAGAATCGATAAATTGTTATGGTTTGCCCCCCCCCCCCCCCAAACCTCTGAGCTGGATCCGCCTCTGCCAACATTTTCTTAATTTCATGACGTAGTTATTTGCTTAATTACCTTAAAATTACGAAAGGCCCCTGTGAACCCAATGGAGAGGGCCCCGAGGGGCCCAGTGGCAAAGCCTCAGGCCCGAAGGGCCCTTTTATAACCAATGAAGAGAGCCCAGAGGGCCCTACCTAGCGGCAAGGTCTCAGGCCCGAAAGGCCCCCGCGAACCTAGTGGAGTGCCCCGAGGGGCCCTTACGCTACTTTTATTGTGCCCCTTACCGTACCACGATGGGGGCCCACGATGGGGGCCCTTTGCAGTGGCGGCGGAATAGGGGGTGCAGGGGGTGCAGCTGCACCCCCATCGAAAAACATGGGGGTGCAAGCATATCTTTTTGCACCCCCAAAATCCGTACAAGGGGCCCGTCGCACCATCCAATACATTTTCTTCTGAAAACCAGTGATCGGGAAACGAACACTGATGTGGAATCATCCGGAATGTCCAATTATGGTCAGGAGAGCCCCATGCTAGTCTTTGGGGCCCCCACACCGGCTAGAAGTGTCCCGAGCCGCGTTTGATGCTCCATGCGGCATCTGAGGGCCCCCACGATGGCCTCAGGGCCCTTTTATGATGATCTCTAAGGGCTTCCACGATGACCTCTGTCCCCTGGGGCCCTACAACGGCCACTAAGGGCCCTCATGACGACCGCTGAGGGTCCCACAGAGACTCCAGGGCCCCAAGGAGACTCAAGGGGCCACGCTGGCCTCTGGGCCCCTATGACGGCCTCTGAGGGCCCTTACGATGATCCCTGAGGGCTCTCACGACGACCTCTGTCCCCTGGGCCCTATAACGACCACCAAGGGCCCTAATGACGACCGCTGAGGGTCCCACAGGACTCCAGGTGCCCCGCTGGCCTCTGAGGGCCTCTACGACGGTCGCTGAGGGCCCTCGTGACGGCCCTAGACTCAAGTCTGAGGGCCCATTTGGCTTCAGACGGCCCAGCGACAGCCCCAACACAGCCAGGCTGCAGGGGCTATGCTGGCATCTGGGGGCCTGCAACGGTCTATTGAGGGCCCTAACGATGACCTCTAGCGTTCTTACCAAGGCCTCTGAGAGCCCTGCAAAGGTATCTGAGGGCCCATGGGGTCCTCACAACAACTTCTGAGGACCCCAGGATGGTCCCTAAGGGGCTGAGGGCCCTGACGACGACCTCTCTGAACCCTCACGATGGTCTCTAAGACCCAACGGAAGCTCCAAAGGCCCACGCTGGCGGCTGAGGGCCCCACGACGGCCTCTGAGGGCCTCGACGCAGGCAGGCTCCAGGGGCCATGCTGACCTCTGAGGGCCCTCTTGACGGCTTCTAGGGCCTAACGAAGGCTTCAAGGGCCAACGCTGGCCTCTGAAGAACCCTACGACGGCCTCGGAGGGCCTCAACTTAACGCAGGCAGGTGCCAGGAGACATGCTGGCATCTGAGGGCCCCGCAGAGTTCAGATTCAGAGGGCTCAACGACCTTTGTGGACCTTACGAAATACGAAGGTCTCCGAGAGCTCACGCAGGCTCCCAGAATTCCACAATGATTCTCAGGCCCCATGTCGGCTTGTTGAGGCACTTTATCTGCTCTTGATGCCCCGTCGCCGGCCTCTGAGAGTCTCAGTGCCGGAACTTATGGGGGCCATGGGCCCTACACCGGCTTTTATGGCCCCTACATCGACTCTTGGGACTCATGACCCATGAAATGTGGGTCTACGCGGCTTCTAAGAATCCCCATGCTGGTTCTAGTAGCAACCAGCCGGATATTTGGGCTCACACGCGAGCTCCTGGGACCCCGTGCATATACCCCAGGGGTCTACCTGCCTCTAAGACCCCACACATACTTTTGGGGCTCAAGCGCTTGCCCCTGAAGGCCCCACTGACACTGAGACCCCCTTTCCCCTATTCAGTCCTCCATACCGGCTCTTTAGGCTAAGCATCGGCTCCTGTGGCCTCCATCCCGGCTTTGGAGGGCCTCCATACAGGCTTTTTTTGGGGTCCGATGCCGGTTTCTGAGAGCCCTCAAAAGACTTTCGGACCTATACTGCCTTCTGAAACCTTTCAGCAACTTTCAAGGGACCGACCCTGATCGGAGGGCTCATTCAGTCTGGGGAGTCATGTAGGTCTCTGGAGGAGTCTTTATGTGGTCGGTTTCCAAGGGGCTTCTAAGCACGGTCTTCTTGGAACGGTCTCGTAGGGCCCTCAATGGTTCACTGCGGATCCAGAAAGTGGCTTGAGACGCTGCGGGTGGTGGCTAGACTAAAAGATTAGCCGATAAACAAATTAGAAAAAAACTAGCTGCATTTGCTTCTTTATGCTTTCATTATTTGAAATAGGTAGGCACACTGCAATTTCAAACCTTTTACAGAACTTATGTGTATGGGGACAGTTTTCTAAAATCTTCGTTTTTCATAAATCAATAATAATCACTCAAAAAAAAAAATGAATGGGGGGCCCAAAACTTCCAGAGGGGCCCCTTGAGAAAACTTTGCACCCCCATCCAAAATTACCTTCCGCCGCCACTGGCCCTTTGGGCTCCAGGGGGGGGGGGGGGGGCGTGGCCTTGGCTACGCCCCTGGTGCCGCGTGAAAAGTCAAAGGTGTTTAAAGCTGTTTTGCAAAAGTAGTGATTTTGAGAGGCTCATATCTCAGCAACCGCTTGGGCGATTGTCTTACGGTAATTTGTGTGGGGTAGCTGCATCCCTTCTACCAAAGGTCGGATACTCCTCCTCCTGATCTATGTGAGTGGTACCCCACTGCACGTGCAAAATGCAGAAAGAAGAGGTGCCAAATTTGTTCCCATTTCAATAACTCGGTAATTACATGTTCGGCTGGGGACCGGTTAGTAGGGTGCCGTGCAAAAGTCAGTTTGGACCACGTGCGCACGTGCAGAATGCCGCTTCCAGATCTCGGGAACGGCTGGGCGGAATGCGATCAAATTTGGCACACCGCTAGCGACCGGTGAGAAGGATGCTTTGCACAAGCCCGTTGGAAGTACCCTCTCGCCCTTCCGCACTTGCAGGGCGGCTCACTATCTCGCTCGATCGTTCTTCGCCCAAAAGCTGGTACCCTAGGTACCTAGCGGTCCCTGGTGCATACCCCTCTGAACCAATTACTTTCACCCAACTTTCACCCTCGCCCGTCTTTTTGTGTCTAGGGGTTATAGAATGGCTACCATAGACTATAGCGTTATATTGACTGCTTGAGGTCATCTGAGGTCTCACGGCTGTTAAATTCACCCCATCCACGCCACTCGCCAGTCGACTGGTAGCTTTTTTGTCTCAATCGGCAGGGTAGTTACTGAGTATTAGGATACCTGAAATAGGCACGGAAACATCAAGATAACCTCTCGAGGTCACTGGTCACCGAGGTCACCAAGTCACCACATTTCAAGTCGTCCATGGTCCATGAAATCACTGGTGGCATTTTGCTATCATAGGTATGCGGAAAGGTCAATTTCGCACCAAAATGTCCCTGAGCATGTATCACATCGCTGTATTCAAAAATACAATTGAAATTACATATGCAAAGTAGACTGGTGGTGACTGGTGAGGTGTTCTTGTGGTCACTAATTACGTCACGTGATAATGTATAGACATGGCTGTTGATTAGTGTTATCCAATCGAAATGCTGCATATTTACGTCTGGACAACGAGTTGCGTTGGAGAGGCCGGAAATAGTGGCGATTTCAGGACCGCAAGAATGGACCGTCATTGGAATGATTCTTTTTTAAACCGTGGACTGTTTTCAGCCGGAATTTAATAGTTACTACAAAATATTTTGTAATTACGTTTCCACCAAGAATGAATGCCATCAGGGCTAAATTTTTACTTGTATTGCATTTTGTCAAGAAGCATATAGTGCTGTTA